TGTGGAGAGTGTCCTCTTTAAAGCAGAGCTCTCGTCTCCTGCAGATGCTTTTAGCCTCCAGAGACCACCCCTTCTTCAACACCTCTAGTTCATAAGGCTAGCAGCTTTTCGTGATCCTGCCTCTGTGTGGCCTCATCCTCTGGCTTGTCCTCATCAAAGGCCTTTGAGTCCTGTGAAAATACTGTAGAGAAAAAAGTTTCTGGGGACTCTTCTAAGTTTTTTTTTTTTTTTCATTATGTTGAACCAAGGGCCGTTATCATTTGTGACTGGTTTTTACCCTCACAGTGTTTTGTCTGGCGGAGTGTAAGCTTGGTCTTCACATGACATTCTGGCAGAGGCAGATGGGGTTACTAATGTCTTCTCACCAGTGTGCGTGGTTTCCATGTGTTCGTACTCTTGGGTGGAGCTATTTTGTGTGTTCGGGTGTTTTGCCTGCATGTCTGTGTGTGTGTCATGGTACCTGCAGAGGCCAGACAAGGGCATCAGATTGCCTGGGATTGAACTTACAGACACTTGTGAGCCACTATGTAGGTGCACAGAATCAAACCCTGGTCCTCTGGGAGAGTAGCCAGTGCTCTTAACCACCTAGCCACCTCTCCAGCAGAGACAAACCCTCTTCACCCTTGCCATAGCCTCACTGGAGGGGAAACCTAAACTCTCTTTTGGACTTAAACCTCATCTGACCATCTACCACCCAGCCTGTCTTTTTGTTGCTGTTTTTCCCTCCAGGGGTTCTCTATACAGCCCTTGTTGTTCTGGAACTCGCTCAGTAGAACAGGCTAGCCTTGAACTCAGAGACGGGCATGTGCTACCATGCCCCTGTTTAGTGTAAAACAGGATAGAGGCAGGAGAATTTCAAAAGGAATGCCCATTGACAATCCACTGGCCTACAGAAGTTCTGAAATCCATCCTCCTGAGGTGTGAAATCCAGATTCTGGGGAGGCTAGGCCAAGATTTCCTTGGTGGCCTCTGATTCTCTTCCCTTGGGTTGGGGAGGGTCATCTTCGCTCCTTGGCATGCTGTGCTGATGGGACCCCTATCCTCATGAGAGTCTTTCTGTTCTGTCACTGTCAGTATGTAGGCTGCTTGGGTCTAGTTATCTGCTACTAACCTGTCTGAGGGTTCTGGATGCAGAAGCAAACAACAGGAAATATTCCTAAACTGTAGTGCCAGGGTGACGTTCCCATGGCGATGTTATCCCCTCAGAGATGCAATACACTTTTGGTCATCTGCACCTTGTCATCAAAGTCCCTTTCCAGGTTTTCAGGGATGCCTAATTTCTTTCTTTTTTCTTCCTCATTGGCTCTGTTTTTGCTTTGCTGCTAACCTATTGCTACAGTCTTCAAGAGCTGGAAACGATACACACAGGCTGACATGCTGCAATCCTGACATGTCCGGAGAGCCCAGTTCATTTGTTCAGTTGAGTTTTTCTGCTGAAACTATTTTTTAAAATCTCTGTTCCTTCCCTCTTCCTCCTCCCTGCACCATCTTTCCATGGTCTTATGTAGCCCAGGCTGGCCTTGAACTCTTTGCGATCCTGCCTTAGCTTCCTGAATGCTGGGATTGTGAGTCATGCCTGCCTTCCTTTCCTGGTACAGCAGTTTTACTTCCACATTCCTTCACACTTTGAATTTCATTTTTCATTTCTTTTTTTTTTTTTTTTTTTTGGTTTTTTGAGACAGTGTTTCTCTGTGTATCCCTGGCTGTCCTGGAACTCACTCTGTAGACCAGGCTGGCCTTGAACTCAGAAATCCGCCTGCCTCTGCCTCCCAAGTGCTGGGATTAAAGGCGTGCGCCACCACCACCCGGCGAATTTCATTTTTCTTTGCTTATTTTCAAATAGACTTGTGTCCACTGCCCCTCCCCTCAGATCTTACTATGTAGCCCAGGCTGGCCTTGTGTTTGAGATTGTGTCTGAGAGATTGCCTGCCTCTGCAGTGCTGAGATTAAAGGCATTCAACACCATGTCCAGCTGATTCCTGCTTAATTTTACTTCTTATAAAACCTTGCTGAGAAGAATAAATAAAAATAAAAATGACAAAACAAAACAAATCCCCCAAACCTTGCTGCAAGGCAATAGTGCCAGCCGCCTGCCCCATAGCATTTTCTGGTCACTCCTCTGAGAACTTTAGGTCATTTGGCTGAGTTTTAGTGTTTCATCTTGGTGGTCTTATTCAAGCCTCACCTGGACCATAACCTTTCTAGCCTTGAAATCAATTGACTTTTCTGTTCACCTGCCAAGCCAATGCCACACATCTTATTTTGTATGTTTCAAAAACATTATTGCATTTTAGTGCATGTGTATAGAGCATATGTGTCTTGTTGGGCTTATGGAGGTCAGAGGACAGTGGAAGCTGTTCTCCCTTTTACCATGTGGGGTGTGGGATCAAACCCAGGTCCTCAGGCTTGGCAGCAGGTGCCCTTTAACCACTGAGCCATCCTAGTGGCCCTTCTTTTAGATTTTTTTTTTATTGTGGAGGGAACTCCCTCTCAGGAACTATTTCTGAATTGCAGTAGGTTCAATAGCAATAACAAGCCAATACTTTCAATGGCTCAACACAATGAGAAGGGCTTGGGGAGCTGTCTGGCCAATCTCCACATATGAACTTTATTCCCAGGAAATACATGGAGGCGCCAGGGGCCTGGAGACTTTCCAGATGTCATAGGGATAAAGAACAGGTCCTGGAGTTGAACCCAATTCAGACCAACCACACAGCCTGCTGTCCATGCCTCAGTGGCCCATGACAGCTTAAAACATGTGGCTGTCTTTCCCCCACTCAGAGGGGCTAGCTCCAGACACCCACATATTCCTCTGCCTCTGGCCTTCCACCTCTAAGAATTAAGCGTTTCCCTCATAAGCAGTCCTGGTCCATGGGTAGCGATTCTGAGAGAGCTGATGCCACAAGACCCAGTACCCCACGGGAGCAATAGAAAAGACACATAGGGGTGTCAAGTGTCCTACAAGGTGACTTGGAGTCCAGCATTGTTTTAGAAGTGTCATCAGATGCAACACCCCATAGGAGGGACCTACAGGGCATCTCTTTATGAGTTTAAGTGGGGCAAGTCTTTAGGAAACGGCAGGGTCAAGGGCTCATTGGGCTCCATAGAGAGCTTGAAGGCAGATTGAGTAAATTAGCAAGACTGTGTCTCAACATTCAAAAAAAGAAGAGTTGGGGATGTACTTAGATTAGCATGCTTAAGGCCTGCGTTCAAGTACCCCCAAAGTACCCCCAAATCAATCAAGAAATGAATGGTGGCAGTTGGTCTCGGTGCAGGGGTGAGGGAAGAGTTTGGCTCTACTGGCCTGCTTCTATAGGGGGAAGCTGGTTTGCTGCTGGGTAGCACAGGCGCTGCACCTTCAAGCTAAGTGGCCAGGACATCGAAGGAAATGAAGTGGTGAGGCTGACTCCCAGGGTTGGAGAGGAGCTGGGGTTGAGGAAGCTGTAGGCGGGTTTCTCTGGTTACCCCGGAGAACAGGAATCCAAGGAAGTAAGGCAGCAAAAAGGGGGCATGTTTCTTATCAGTCCCAGGAGTCTAGAGTACAGGGGACCAGGTTAAAGTCACAGGCCACTTGTCTGCATAGTTGAGGAGGTTGGGAATGCAGTATTAACAGTCTTCCTAGTTAGGGGCCTGTTGGCTCAGTGCTATGCTGGGTCAGTTATCTAGAGGGTCGGGGGTCTGTTCATTTAATGGTCTATAGGATTAGGGGTCTTCTGGGTCAGTCTACAGGGTCAGGGGTCTGCTGAGTCAGGGGTCCGTATGGAGGATCTAGGGTTGGAGGGTCTGCTCCAACAGATCTCAGGAGCTGGGTACTGGGGCCTCAGGTAAGCGTGAAGAAGCATGATGTGTCTCACTCACTGGACACATCCAGGCTGGCTCCAACCTCTAGGGGCTCCTTTTCCTTCTCCTCCATACAGCTGTGTTTTTCTATCAGGTGGGTAACTGAGTGGATCCACAGCAGACGTATTGTTGGAAGCAAGGGGTGCAGCTGCAGAGGTCAGAGGTGAGAAGACGGAGGAGGGAAGTCAAGACCCAGGGGTTAGGATGAGTAGGAGTATGTAAGAGCTGGAGGCAGAAGCTCCTGAGGATACTCAAGATAGAAGCCAGGATGAGCGTGCCGAGAACATGGCAGCTGCACACTGAGTCACCATGGGGACACTATGATGGTTCTTTAACATGAAGTTGTCATGTGACCCAGCAAGTCCACCTCTGTAAGACACATCAGAAGAATCAAAAGCAGGGGTGTGAAGAGAATTTTGTTTGTCAAAGTTCACAGTGGTGTTAGAAAAGCCACAGGGGAAAGCAGGCGGATGTTCATGCAGAGTGTGCTACATTCCTGCAATGGGATACCATTCGGTCTGCAAAAGGAAACTCTGGTCCACTGTAGAACACGAACCTAAAAACATTATTCTAAAATAAGCCAGGCCTAAAAGGACAAATCATGATGGCTGCTCGCATATGAACTACATGGAGGAGGCAAATGCTCAAGCCCGGATGCCGTGGGGTTGGATGGGCTGAGAAAGGGGAATGGCAAGTTTTATAGATATTGGCCAAAACCAAAACAATAATCACTGGAGCCAGGAGCCGTGACAACGGGAGGGGGTGGCATCTTCTAGGCTTTCTGAGGTGGGGTGTGCTGGGGGAAGACGGATAGGTGGAGGCAGGCCGGGGTGAGGCTCCTGTGGGGACAGCGGCCCTGGCAACGGGTCTGTCCAGGGTGAAGAAGCAGAATGTTGACCTGGGAGGAATGTTGCAAGCTCACAGGACAGCCGTGCCTCGGGTCTCAGGGAAGGAATGTGGGCACAGATAGGGTCACGGTGGCTTGAGAGGCAATGGGGATCCAGGAGGCTTAGCACAGGATTGGCCGTGACTTCAGCCTGTGGACAGCTCTCTTTTCAGTGTGAGGGTAGGCTGTGACTCCTTTCAGAGACAAGGAACAGATAGATCCTGGCCGTGGCGCCCTCTGGTGAGGCTCTGGATAAAGAAGCTGCTGGGCGCAGTTTAGTGATTCCAAACAGTTTAATTCCAAGACAGTGTGATCACATCGCTACACATATACAATATGCATATGTGACTTTACAGATTCAATTAATAACTCGCTTCACCTCAGAGACCGAGAAAATGATCAAAAAGAAACTGAGTAACAAGCTCTAACAGTTCATCACAACAGGACCCGCCTCACCCTACAGTTAGTAATAGGACAATTAAAATAACTATATTCTTCTATATTTTTTTCTGTTAAAATCATCTCATAAATTTACAATGCTATTATTAGTTTCCAAGACTAATATAAATTCACTCCATTTTTCTACAACGAAAATGATGATTAATTTAGAAACGCACGACGTCATGATGAAAACAAGCACTTTAGTAGCAACGACCTCATCAGTTAAGAATTAATTTTCTTGAAAAACATTCTAAAGCCAAGTAAAATATCCATCCTTATAACATACCTATAATGAGAGTAAGGAACAGGTTACATAGAGGTCTACAACACACTTGTTTGTCCTTAAAAAAAAAATTAGACATTTATAAATAAAAAAAAAAGAGGGACACGTCACAGAGGAAAAAGGTACACGAGAAAATACTGTTGCACGCGATAATTCCCACACAGATTAACATGGATTAACACTTTATTACAGAAACCATACAGTGAAGGAACACAACGGGCCAGGGCTTTCGAGAGGTTATCAAGACTGAGCTGAGATGACCTGGTAGAGAAAGATCTAGGTGAGATGACCTGGGGGCGGGAGCCTCAGTCCTTGGCCTGGGGGATGGGCACTGCCAGGTCTCCTCCTCCACGTTATTGTTTTGGGGAGTGTGTCTTTCTGTCCTGAGCATTCTGAAGTCACAGGCAGCAGAAGCTAAGCCTTGCGACAGGTCCCTCTTGCCACCTTCACGGTACCACTTTTTGGAAATGTGACATGCTATCGGCTGCAGCTCAAAACATGTGGTCAGAGCAAAATGGGATGAAGAATTCCAGTCCTTCTGATCTATGTCCTCACTCTCCTATGCCATTGTTGCTGAGGACCCAGCGAGAGCAGCAGAGCCCTCGCGGCCTCCCAGCTTTGCTGAGGTGAGGCGAGGGCTGGGTCCAGGGGCCTTAGCTGCACATGAAGCACGACGTGTCTTGCTCATTGGACACATTGAGGCTGGCTCCAACCTCTAAAGGGCTCCTTTTCCTTCTCATCCATAAAGCTATACTTTTCTATCAGAAATTTGGCTTGATATATATATACACAAACATATATATCAACATCTCTATCTATACAATGCTTCTACTACACTAGGAATCCTGCAGCCCCAACATACGCCTTTCTCGTCAACTTCATTTGGTTAAAAAACACACACAAAGGGGTGAAGGGTGCTTTGGGGACTATAAATGATTGTGCCCTAGGTTACCCATGGAAGAAAGCCAGCATTAAATGGGCAGTAACACAGGAGAGAGGGATATGGAGGGCAGGAAGCCAACAGACTTGGAGGCAGTATGAACAGGACCTCTGCCCTGAAGGGCACGTGTGTGTGTGTGTGTGTGTGTGCGCGCGCGCGTGCACGTGTGCCTGTGTGTACTCACTCAGTCACAGAAAACTAGAGGATGGCACAGCCAAGACACTTTCAACTTCCATGTCCTTCCTCATAACCTGAGCAGAGAACTGACAGCAAGAGCAAACCCATGGGCCAGCAGCCCGGCAGGCAGGCAGGGGCATGGCTCCCAGAGCTGAGCTTTCTGGGAGTCCTGAGAGGCTGAGCATGGAGCTGCAGTGGACTCAGAGGTGGGGACCGGGCCAGGAGTCATTTGGAAATGGGGTGGGCGGGAACTAAAGAGAACTACAGCAGAGCCCTTTTTTTTTTTTAAGCTACAGTGAATTTACTTTTCAAATAATGACAAGCCCATTTCTATACCTCTCACCTTTAAAAACATGGGTTAGCTTCAAAGACAAGGAGACAAAATTCATTTGGTTTATTAGTGCAAAGCAAATGACACGCGCACACGCACACGTGTGAGTGTGCACCTAAGATACGACTAAGAACTGTGAGAAGAACAAGGACATTCTAACAGATCACAAGAGCATGCTGTGAGCGCAAAGCAAACATGGCGGTGAGGAGTCACCACAGGTCACCACGGGGCCTCCACAGTTCAGTGTGGCACAAGAGAAAACCAAAACCAAACAAGACCCAGCTCACATTGTGAGTTCTAGACCAGCCAGGGCTACATGGTGGGAACCTGTCTTAAAGACATGACATAACAAAACAAAATACCCCAATAAAAACCCAACCCAAACCTTACAAAACTTTCAGGGAAATTGACATTTTCTGTTTCTCTTGCCTAACAATGGAGGTTGCTCTTGTCTCTGAAGCCTGTTTCCATCACTGTAAATCCCCTGTGGACCCAGTCTCCAAGGACCATCCTGCATTGCCCATCCCAGCTCCTTCAGCTCCGAAGCCATCTTCTGAACTGGGTTTCACATCTTAGCCAGGCAATGGGTAAATTAAAGTACATGTTATTTTACATGGGTTTTGTTTTAAAGAAAAAAATTGACAAAAACAGCAACGTGTGGAAAATCCAGTCAGTGAACATGGGTACAGGGGTACGGCTCTCCCTCTCCAAATGCTGACCAAGGTTCACTGCGGACCCAGAAACAGCAGCCACACCTGCAGAGCCAGGTGAGTGGTCTAGTCACAAAGGGAGCATTCACATGGAGACAAAGTTGACGAAGCAGGGAATCAGTCTCACCACGCCCCCAGCACTGGTACACATGGCACAGGACTCTGCATACAGGCCCAGGTTCAGGACTCACCCCTTCCCATTCCCACCAGACTTCCTTTCACATTCTCTCAGGTTCACTGGGAAGCAACAATAAGGGAAACACACACATCAGGCTAAGGAACAGCATGAGTGGAACATGCCTGCCTTGGGGAGACACAGCCTCTAACACACGAGTCAGTCAGTCGCTGTGGTTGAAGATGTCAGTTATAAACAATTTTCTTTTTAAAAAGTACCAGGTTGAATGTAAACTATAAAATACTTTAACTATAAAATGTAGCCAGAAGTCTGTTTGAGTATCTATAGTCAATTGTATAGTTTACTTGATATGGAGAAATCAAAGGGCACGTCACAGCATGAGAACCATGCTCCTGTGCACTAGGACAGCACACTGATTATGACACGCACAATCATTTCTTCTTGGTTCCACTTCTGGTGTAATGATGAGAATTCTATTCTCAGAACTCATTTAGGCAACAGTGACCAGGGTACGCATTAATCCTTACTTTCAGCCCACAGAGAACAATTCATTGTCTTTTTAAATCACAAGATCAAGCTGGCTACATGATTTCAAAAAAGGCTAAACCAGGACGAATGCCCACATTTGAGGTAATTATTGCCATTAGGGTCACAGTTTGTGTACGATAATATAGCTAAACCTTCTGAAGACATTGTTAGGTGCTCTGCCCCAGTTCCAGAACACCTGCTGACACCAACCAGGGTCTCAGATCTACACTAGCTGGGTTTGCTTCCAATGGATTTAAAGTTCTACAAGAATTTAGAACTTGTGTAAACGACCTAAGAATTTAGGCAAACAAGCCTGGAGCCAGTCAGTAAAGACATTTTTAAAAGAAAAGAGAAACAAGAAACTCACCCGAAACAGAGTTTGAAGACGTTAAAGCCTAGCCCCTAGAGCATTTCTAGATTTTGTCATCTGTCAAGTGAACAGAAACCTCGGCACAGCACTGAACCCAGCCTGAGGTGCCGCCTCTCATCCCGAGGCTGCTCTGACCGTTTTGCTTCTCTCTGAGAAGGGCGTCTCTTGCATGAAAACTCAATTTTGTTCCTCTTCCGAAAACTCATCTTGCCTTCATCTCCCTCCCCTTTTTTTTGTTTTTTGTTTTGTTTTTTTATTTTTTGTTTTTGTTTGTTTCTTCATAGAAAAAAAGTTCCTGGACACAGACCTACATGGTATTTACAGATTTGGCTTGAACCTGGCTTCTGGTTCTGTGCAGAGCTGAAGGGCAGGCCTATTACAGAGATCAGAGCTGTCATGACATTTATCAAGTACAGTTAAAAAATAGCATTTTGGAAAAAAAATATATACTTTTAGTATTGCCTTTCTAGGATTAACTAAGCAAGAAAAAAAATCTTTATTTAAGTATTTATTTAAAAGAAAGAACACTTTCCCTTCACTCTCATAAGAGCTGCAGCAGCGTGGATGACTAAAGCTGGTTGCTGGGAAGAAACTGAGAGGAATTCTAGGAATCCAGAGAAACTTCCCAGAGACTTAAGTCAAACTCTGCCTCTTCCACCCGCATCCAGTCCAGGAACCCTCTTTGCACATACCTGCTGGCGTCCACTGTCACACAGGGCAGGCAGGGCGTGACATTCTATAAAGGACTGTCCTTGTTATACAAGGGAGGCAGCTGAGGCTGGTGTCTGTGAGCCCAGCTCCAGAGCCAAGCAGACAGAATGTCAAGCCCTGACTTCCCTTCTTACAAGCGAGGTGGCCTGGGCAAGTGCCAGGTGCCTCATCTGTACAGGTACTGCATGGCTGGTGGCCTGGGCTCATCCACACTTCTTAGCACAGTGCTTGGAATGCACACAGGAAATGGGAGCATCATTCAATGGCTCATTAGAGACAGGAGGCTGCACACTGCAGTTAGTTAAACAGGGAAACAAAACTTCACATCAGGAACGTCCTGATTAACAAAACCAGGATTAGGAACGTGGGGGCTCTGAGCTGCATCATATTTCTCTTTCACACATGCCACTTCCTCAGAGGGCCAGCCTTTCCATCTGTCCCATAGGGGGTGTTGACTTCTTCCCAGGGATGGGTCTTGGAGAGAACACTGAGAAAGGACTTGGCGTGCTGTGAATACTCAACAAAAGTCAGTGAGTCCTTACACAAGGGAGACTGCTATTGTGCATCAAGAGACAGTCAGTATGATGTCCTCCTACATGGGTCTGAGATGAGGGACCCTGAAAGGATTGGGGAATGGGGAGGGGTTCCAGCTTAGAAGGCAGGAAGCATGGAGGTTCTGTGACAGAGAATTTCCAAGATCTCTTTTCTGGCAGCTCTGAGTCAGAAGGGAAGAGACTGGTTGGAGCTATTTCTCAGGAGTTACCCCAAAGCCTCGGGAAACCTTCCCTCAGGCCGTTACTACAGTGAGCCCTAGTGCCAGAGTTCATGAGGTTCCTTTTGCAATTAAGTAAGCCTTATCTTGCCATCTTTGGTTCTCCAGTGGCTTGACGGACTTGTCTGAATCTGTCTGTGGAGACTAGGCAAGTGGGTCGAGCCTGCCATCGCCAGCCAGCCCTACACACATCCTAAGCCTGGGATACAGTGTGGGGTCATCAGGGAAGGTTGCTTGCTTGTTTTCTAGCTTCCCACAGTAGCATTAGACAATTAACCACAAATGAGAACTAGAGGAATATCAATTCCCTGGAGTAGCAGCATTTAGGGCCACTACTCCACTCCTCTTTAAAGATGAGTGGTTTTGAAATAATGCAATTAAAAAAAAATCAGGTAGCAAGGAAAGGTAAATGGAAGGTCATTGAAGTCATTATTGCCCAGAAAGGAACAGGGAATGAATCTGCCCATCTTCTCTGAGAAGGTTCTTTGGCTATAGAAAGGGACAGTTTTACTTTCCAATTTGGTAAGGACATCTCAGGCTTGCTTAATCTTTAGGCTTCTCCACTGAAAATTTGTAAAGCAAAGAAGAGGGAAAAACATGAGTGAAGAGCAAAGCCTGTGAGGCCCTGGGCCAGTGTGTGTGTGTGTGTGTGTGTGTGTGTGTATGTGCAGTCTCAGGCTGGGCAATGAAAGGAGAGCTTGTCTCATGGAATTCTGTCTGCTAGCTGAGGGCACCGAGCCATCTTCTTTCTGTTTTTGGTCCTAGCAGCTACTTGGCAGGCCAGCAAGAGCCACACCCACATCTGACCCTCCCTCAGCCAGATGTGGAGAACCTGGGAGAGGGAGGGACAGGGTGGGATCCAGTCACCATCATCATCATGAACCACCTGCAATACTTCCCTAAGCCTCCTCAGCACCTCACTCTGGTTTCCAAGAACGTAAAGTCCACTCACTCCCGATCACCCAACCCACTCTTTCACCACACACTGTTCAAAATGAGTGTTTGCAACACCTGAGACTCAGTCCAGAGAGGTCCAGTCTGCCGTGTTAACCTCCCTTCCTGACCTGCTCCACACCGGTTGGTCAGTTCTAGTCCTTAGACAAAGAAAACAAAGCCAGGCTGGCTTTTATAGCTGCTAACAACTTTGTCACCAGGAAGGGGAGAAACTTAATACAGTCAGGGACACTGGGCCACCCCACCCCCTTTTCCTCTGGATCACATCAAACATATCCACTTCACAGGGCTCACTGGCACTAACACCAGCCTTGCCTACTGGCCTGCTCATCTGCTTTCCTAAAACATCACCCGACGCTCTAGCAGAAACATGGGTGCCCAGGCCCACTCAGGACCCAGCGAGCAGCAGCAGAGTCTGCTGACCTGAGGGTCACGAGGTACCACAGACCTGTTTCCTTGCGCTGACCTCATCTTCCTCATGCTGAACAGTTTATCTTCATTAAAGAAGGCCCAGAGGATGCACCACGGACACATGGTCTAGTAAGAACTAGGTGGCCCTCCTTCCACCGGAGGACAGTACTAAGGACAGCAGCCTTTCTTCTTGCTAAAGGGATGCAGTGCAGAGCATCTCGAGGGGATCCTAGGTGAGGATGCTCATCAGCTGGGATTCTCTGTACTTCTGATGCATCAGCTCTGAATGTGGGACTTGAGATCAAGGGAGGGGTGGCTGTGGGATGAGTTTTGCAGAGTGGCTGTCTTCTGTGTGGGGAAGCTATTGCTTCAATCCTTTCTTCACTGGGGGCCTGGTTGTTTCTGAGTGGTAGTGGGCTGTGTATACACACTCATGAGCACAGTGCAGGGCACAGCCACAGCTCGGAAGCAGGGTGGCCTAAAAGGTCCTGCTGTGCCCTTTACTTGCCAGTGATGAAGAAGGGGTCCTTTCTGTGAGACTGTCTTGTGTCTTCCCTGTTCCTTTACTTGGCTACCTAGAATTGGGTGCTCAGAGGATAAGCCTGGGGAAGAAGTAGATGAGGGAACTATCTCACAGGTGGCACTGGTTGCCCACTGAACCTAATGGCTTTCAGGTGGGACCATCGTCTCTGGACTGAGGAAGATAGAAATAAGCCACACTCCAAGTACGTTAATGGACATAGTGAGGGGAAAGGGCCAATGGAGGCTCTGAGAGAGGGAGGGGCTTGTTATGCTAAATGTCAGTTGTGAGGCTAAAATCTGGTCAGTAGTTCACAGCTGGAGGAGAGCAGAGAGAATGTGAGAGAAGCTGCCAAAGAGTCCAAAAGACACTGCACTGACAGCGGCCGTGTACCACAGCTGGGCCGTGCAGAGGAAGGCCCCAGTGTATCCAAATCTCTGCTTTGTGACAGGGCTTTCTTGTAGCTCTTTGCAGGACAGAGTTGATAAAAACAATCTTTCCTAATTCCTGGGCCTTTCCTGTCCTTTTTTTTTTTTTTTGTCCTTTTCTTTCCTCTGACAAAATCAGACATCTAACTTATATGTCCCTCCAGCCTACTCATATACATACAGCTAGAATAAAATAAATTTAAATATTATGAAGAAAACACAAAGATACTTGGAATCAATGTATACTTCAAACCCTGACTAAAAGAGCAACCAGGTGATAATAATCATAATTACAGTGGCGATAATACAAAAAATCAGTACAACACTAACCTTATGAGCAGCAAGGAATACTCATTCCTGATCTGGGAGAGAAAGGGAAGGACGTGGGGAAGAGTGAGAAACTTCAACTCACGCAGACAGGAGATGAAGGGCACGGTTGGCCCTCCCCTGGAGGACCAGCTCGAGAGAGCGCTGGCCGGCGGGAAGCCCAGGACCACTCAGCTGACATTTAGTATGGTGACTTAGTATGCGACAGCCCCATGGGAAACGCTGCCCTCTAGCTGCTGGAAACACCTGTGACAGACATCCATGCTGGTGGGGCTCTAGCAGCCTCTGGCTCAGGGGCTCCACAGGCTTCGCTCCTTACTCCTCTCCGAATGGACAGCTTCCTGTTGTCTCACTCCCAGCCAGAGCTCGGCTTGGAATAACGTGGTTCTGACCAGGATGAGAAAAGTGGGGCTCCCTACCACAGGCTGGCGTCACTCAGTCCACTGCCAGTGCCCTTGGCTGGAGTGGGTCAGACCATGCCCAAGTCTGGCGACTCTTCTTTCTGGCCCAAGGTGCACTGAGACGACACATCCAGTTTGGGGACTTGATTTAAAAGAATTAATGGTTGAGGAAGTTTCCAGAGTTTTTCACAGCTAAAAGCTAAGTAAGCTTCGTTACTGAAGGAGGACAGGTATCATGAGGAAAGCCTTTCACAGTAGACCAGGGCCAAAAGCAGGAGGAAAGGGAGGGGGACTGGAGGATGCTGGACTGCTGACCAGAGACCTCTTTGTACCCAGCGAGGTGGATGAGGGGACAGCTACGACTCACAAAAGGACCACACAGTTCATCCCATCCTGGACCCGATTGCTCTCTAACATCCACGGCTTCAGAGTTTCTCAGTAGGAACAGACAACTCCTATCCACTCCACTGTTCAAAGCTGGAGAAAATACCCAGAATGCAACACAGGTGCACAGAGGCTCTCAGTAGATCTCTTTGGAGGCTCAATTGTCCATGGCAGCGTTTTCTCAGTGCAATGGACCCCTGGCCACCTCATTAGTGTCCCTTCAGCCCTCTGCTCATTATCTCTCTCTCAAAAGCAGAGATCAAACTGTCTAGGGAGAGCTAGGTTAATTTCAGGACAGAAGTGACAGCAGACTTACCAGTGGAGGTCTGTAGGGGAGAGAGCTGGAGAGACCAGAAGCCTCACTAGATCCTGAGCTGGTGCAGAGAGATGTGGTTGCGTCTGAGACTAGAGGCTTCTTGAAAGAGGGAGGGACTGGGGAGGTACTGTCTCCTGCCCTCTCCCCATAAGGCCCCAGGAAGGAGGTGCTGGGCTTGGAGGCTGGGGCAGCTGCCTGGCAAAGCTGACATTCCTAAGACTCCCTAGCACCATACATGGCAAAGCTAGGGCAGGGTGAGGAGTCTCTCTGGATCTCTGCTCTCTAAGTAAAACTCACCAAAAGAGCCAGCTGCCACCAGTGTGCTGCACCACACAGCGCCCACCTCCCTCCTGAGATCCATGAGTCTCCCCTTTGCCTTACACGAGCTCCTCTGAAATCCTTCTGCTCACAAAGAGCCCAGGAAAGACAATCCACATGACATTAAAACAATGCAAAAACAAAGACCCAAGTAAAATACTATAACAGCTTACACAAGAGCTGAGGGCATCTGACCAGCCCCAACCAGTTTCTTGGAGTACCAGTGGAAGTAAACCCTTTGCCGCGTCTCTGTCAGTCGTTAAGGCACTAGGAGGGAATGATGTAAAATCAGGACTGCAAGGGCTGTGACGGCGGTGCCAAGGGACACATGGGGAGGGTGGCAGCCCCGTCACACCCACACGTGCTCGCACACTCACTCGCTCACCTGGACCACCACACTGGTTCCATGCCTATGTTAAATCACTCTGTTTGTGCAATTATATTGAGGAAGAGTCTATTGGTATCACTGGAGTTGAACACAAGGTAGGAAACAGGGGCGCACTGCTACATTCTTCTAGGGTGTCCAGGACAACCACTAGCCCTATGCTACACGACTAGGGGTTGGTTCAAAGAGAAAAAAAATCTGAGAGAAGAAAAAAATTAAAAATTGCAACATACATCATTAATGACATCTGAGGAACAACATTGCTTAGGGATTTATCCAGAATGCTCCGAAAGAGGAAACCCGCCCTTCTCCTGGGGGGATCTTCCATTAGTTTGGCCGACTCCACTCTTTCTGACAAATAAGCCAGAACTGGGCTTTTCGAACCCCAGACCAACCCCCAAATCTGAGCCTCTTCAGGCCATGGCCTGACATTTGAAAGGGATGCTGACCCTTTTGGAGTTCTGGGAAAATCCCTAATTTTTATGTTCAATTAATTAAAAATCTATTGGATTTCCATATCAGGTGTCCCTGACAGCAAATTCTTCAATGCCACTTGCTGCCATATGAAAATAATCTTTAAAAAGTTCATAAAATTCTTCAAAAAACTGGGGCCCCTTGCTTCCAGAGTCTCCTGTAGGTCCTTTTCTCCTTTCCAGTTTGGTGCAGAATGGGTTTGTGAGCTGTGGTTTTTTTCTTTTTTTCCTCTTTTGTTACTAACATTTTTCTTTTTCTTTTTTTTCCTTTTTTTTTTAAATAAAAAGCATAGATTTCCCCTCCTCACCCCTCCTTTTAAAATGTTCTCCTCTCTAACCCCTCCCACTTCCTGGTTCAAGTTTCATTTGTGCCCCAACTGCCCCCCTCCCTGCCCCGTTTGCATTGTTTGTGTGCGGCACCTGCAGTAGAAAATCCCAGCTCCCCAGGTCGGTCTGGGAGCTCCTCCTCACCCTCCTCCCTGGCGGGCCTCCTCCAGTGTTTATATGTAAGGGTACTGGTTGACCTTGGCAGGACTCAGAGGGTATCCAGTGTAGACGGTGGAGGCTGGCGAGGCGCTGATGTAGGCCTGGTGGGCAAACTGGGCCGGATATTGACTGGGGTGGATGGTGGGCGAGGGCAGGACCCGGGGCCCCATGCTCACAGGGACCTGGTGGACGATGCCGGCCGGATAGGCAGTGTGCTGCACGGTGTGGCGTGCTGAGCCTTGGGATGCCACCAGGTGGGCTACAGTGCCGGTGGAGCCCAGGGCTGTGGGCGCTGTATAGGTGTACAGGTGAGGCTGGGCGGGGAGGTGGGCGGCCGCAGCCAGGTGGGGGTGAACAGTGCCGTGGCTGGGGCTGCTGTGCGGGAAGGTGTATGGAGCCTGGGCCATGGTGGGAGTGATGTAGGCCTGCTGTCGCCGGTGACTCCCAGTGCGGTCCGCAGCCATGTGCTGCTGAGCCTGAGAAGGAAAAACAGCAGAGGGACAGCATTAGGGGGAGGAGGGGGAGGGAGGACAGAAGGAGAAGCAGGAGTGACAACAGATGCTTCCCTTCAAAAGCAGAGAACACGAAGATCTGTTTGGACTGAGAAAGTAATGTCTGTCTGGCCAGTCCCCAGGCTAGGGCGCTACTCAGCAAACCCAGAACAAAGCCGGGGGACGCTTGGCTGAAGGGAAGGAGAGCCCTGCTCTCAGTGACTGCCTTCCCACATCATGGGGGATCTTACTCTAGAATTGGGTTTTCCAGAGACAGTCCAAACAAAAGCCCTCTCTCCTGTAAAGACCCCAAATTTCTGGGGCATGTGTGCAAGTCTCCGGGTACTCCTTCCATGGGTCTGGGCTGCTGGCTGTGAGGACCCTCAGCAGCAAGGCAACTTCAGGGATAGCCTGGTGGGCTAGGGCAATAGCATGACACCATGTCCACCTTTTGCTGGGATGACATAGCACCATGTGGACCCTCTGATCAGCAGGTCTGTTCTGGCACCATGTTACTAAGTACTCTGTCACTTTGCTTTGGGCTGGCTGTCTGCGAACAAGAGATACCACCTTTCCCAGGGTTGGTCTAGGGTCAGAATAAGCCAGCAAGGCCCCTTAAGGGCACTACCTGCTGTGGCTGCTGGGGGTTTACCTGGCTGAGATTGAGAGGCTGCTGCTGCTGGAAGTGGGGGCCTGGCCGCTGCTGACGGTAGGCGATGGCTCCTGAGGAGCTCCCTGAAGAGTGGCCACTGGTGGAGGTCACGGTGCTGGAGGACTTGGACTTGAAGGAGGACGCGTGGTGACTGGTATTGATCGCTGAGGAAGGAGGAACAGGCCATATAGGTCAGTGGCATGTTTTTGGCTGTCTAAAGATGTGCCCCCTCCCCTTCCAGACAGTAGCCTCCCAGGAAGGCCATGTTCCCAAGACTGTCCAGGCATAAACCACTTAGTCCCCAGACCTAGTCAGGCATTCACCTTGACTCTAGAGAGGCAGCTGGGCTCCAGCCCTTGGCTCTATGGAGGATTCGAGCTACAAATGAGGAAGATAGGGGAAGCAAAATCAAGGGTAAAGGTGCAGGCCTATGCTAGCCCACACTCATGGTCCTCTGGGGGAAATGTTATAGCAATAGCTGGAAGGTGTGTGGAAGGAAGAAGGGCTGCCTGGTTCCCTCCCAGTACCCCAGAGGATCAGATGTGATCATGCTAACGGTTGGACCTAACATACCACCAGGTTGAACAGCAGAAGTTACAAGAATGCTGAAGCTCTCCTGACCCCAGGCAGGATGAGACTAACTCTCAAAGGGAATGGCCTTGACATAACCACTATTCCTATGTTACTGACAGTGTAGAGCCTGCCCAGCCAGGAAGCTGCTGTACACATTGGTCACTATGATCCCAGCCCTATAGCTGGGGGTGGTATAGGATCTGCATTGTAACACATTCTGGGAGTTGATGTTGCTGGGTGGGAGGACCACAGCCTTGAGACTGAGGAAGGACAATACCCACATCAGATGGCTGGACCCAGTCAAGGGAGCCCAGAGCTTTATTAGAGCCTGCTGTCTACCAGGCACTTGTGACATGTATCACCCAGGAAGCAGATGGGGTGAGAGTGGCAATTAGGAGGCATCTCAAATCATAAAGGCAAGAGGCAGAAGTAGAGGATACAGGAAGATGCTAATGGTTGGTCAGGATAGGCCTTAACTGTCCAGTGGGCAAGGTGAGACCTTCACCCCTGAATAAAGTCTGAGTGATGCTTTGGAGAGCAGAGCACCTAAATGTACAGGCCATAGCCCTCTTCCCTTTTATTTTTTATAGGGTCTCATTATGTAACTCAGGCTGTCATCAAACTTGCAATCCTCCTGTCTCTGCTGCTTCTGTGATGGAATTATAGATCACCTGACCTGGCTAAGCTATAGTCTCTTTACTGAACAATACCTAAGAACCAATAACACGCAAGCAATAGACAGGCACCCAGTCTTGAGGAGATATTGCATGTCTTTAGAACTTGCACAAGAGCTAGGCAAACATGTGAGGGAGAAGGTCTCAGTCACCTCCTCTGTGTCCTATGGTTCAAATGCCTGGAGGAACACAAGAGGCCTATGAACTGTACTATTGGTGTTGTACGGTTTAAAAGCCACAGTTAATATATTCTTTTCACTCCATAAAAGGTAAAAAGCAAAGAAGAATTAGTTGAAAAGAAAATGGCTTTGGTTTGGAATGGGAGGACAACTGCCTCTCACTGCCCCAGGTGCCACCCTAGCCAGGAATGTGATGCCCACTGGGAGACAGAAGCATGAAGGTAGTGGTGAGTCTCTAAGAACATGCCCTGGCGAGGGTTCTGCACAAGGGGGTGGGGGAGAGTGCTTTAAGGAAGGCAGTAAGCCCCCTCATCACCACCAGTCCAAGGACATCTGAGCATTCACACATTGTGTCATGTAGCTAATGATTCATTTCCTTCATTGAGTTTCTGGAATTGACTAAAATAAGGTCTATGTCTTATTCCTAGGACAGATGGCAGTACACATTGAGGAACCATAAGAAAAGATGGAGCCTTTGAATGACTTAGGATACACCAGCTTTTTGACAAATTCCAGGGTTATGATGTCAGGTTGTGAAGCCCAAGGCAAGCCCTGACAATGGGAGAAGAGTTCCAGCAAACACACTGGGTCACAGGGAAACTGGATACCTTGGGAGCAGAAGACAGAGGGGACATTCCACCTTTCAAGAAACTCCCAACCTCAAGTAAAGGAAGACTGATTTGCTGGGAAGGAGATGGTGGGTCCCAGAATGAGGTCTCCATGTCTAACTGCACTGGCACCCAAGGCCTCTTCCACTTACCCACTTCATTAAAGTCCCTCGGGAGGTGCCTGGGAACTGGTGTATTGAACTTCTCAGGACTCCAAAGGCACCCAGGTGCCGGTGGAGCAGAGTATATTTAGGACTCAGTGCCTAGACTAAGCCAGTTAGGTTCCCAAAGCTCAGCTGGAGAGGAAGGGAAGCTCTCCTGACAGCCGAGATATGCTGCTTTCTGTTTGACCCCATATCTAGTCCTCAAAGACCCAGGGTTCATAGTGTTCTACCTATCACATTATTGTGGTGACAAGATATGGTGACTGGGTCAGAGCTGGTCAAACTGTCAGAGTGGAGAAGCCTGGATGTAGGAAGGTCCTGAAGGGGCCAAGAGATTCAGGTAGCGATTTCTCTTACTGAGGAGGATGAGGTGGCAATGGGCCTTCACTCTAGCAACACAGATTCTGTGGCCATGAGGGAACAGATCTCATTCATGCAGTGTGCGAATGCAAATGTGCTCAGGCACAGGTACTCTGTAGCCGCAGAGCCTGAGAGGCCAGCTGCACGGCCATGGCCACTCTGAGAACCTCTGTGCTCTTATGGTCCTTTGGTCCTTTTGTGTTGTAATCATAGTATCTACACGTAGAGTTTCTCTGAAGGCTAGTTATATTAGAGCTAGTCCACGTGAGGCTCATTCCATGTGCACACCCCTCACCGAGCAGCGCAGCAGCCTTCTGTTATTTCTCAGCCAGGACACTGTGGCCCACACTCTGCTCCTCACCCTGAGGGTTCTGACTTTGAAACTAGCATCGACTCCTCGGACTGTGGGCAGCTAGGACATGAGGAAGAGCAGCAGTGGTGGGTGAAGGGCAGATGTAATTAATGAACCTATTTTCTGAAGAAAGTAGCTGGGGTACCCCTAAAGCCACAAGTAGAGTGCTTGAAAGAGGCCTGTGAGCATACCCACCCCACATGGGTCATCCTAGTCAGATGGTAAGGGAGAAAGAAGTCTAAGCCTGTTTCTATTTCCTTTCTGGCAGAGATGCTTGGTATAAAAAGGGTCCAATCACAGGCTTCCAGTGAATATTGGGAAAGTATTGCAAGCCAGCTGCAGCAGGGACTGGAAAAGTCCCTGCAGTTCTCATCTTAATCACACCCAGCACCTTGAGCGGCAGCACCTCGACAACTTGGTAACCACCAAAGAAGAACTCTTATCTTCCAGAGTAACCTCAGGTATCTCCTGTGGCCATGTCAGGTGACAAACAGAGCATCCCTACCAAGGAATAATAGCCTCTCACGTCTAGACAGAGCTTGACAGCATGTCTCTTTCTGACACCATGGAGATGCTGCCTGGCCTGCTGTGGCGGATGGCAGTGTGTAGCACAACAGACTTGCAGATTCTTTGGCATGGCCTCCCAATTCGTGCGTGCGAGCATGAGTGAAGGAGCTGCTGAGAAGCTGCCGCCGAGGAAGAGCATGGCGGACCGCTGCCTGCCTTCAAAGGCTAAGTTCACTGGCTTTCTGCCAGGGCCCAGTTTTCAGGACAAGCCTCATGCAATGTTAGTTCTTTAAGTAAAGCTGAGAGAAATGTGCTAGCTCAGGTCTCTGTGCTCAAGGGAATGTCCTGATAAAGGGTCCATGGCCCCCACATGGCAAGGTCAGATCAAGTGCTTCTTTACCAGATATTTGCTCTACCCTAGAAAGATGTCAGGAATGTCCAAACCAGTTGATAAGAAAGTGGGGGTGCTTCCATTGTTTATTTATCTACTGTGACAGAAGCAGAGCCACCTGGAGGACAGCAGTGTTTTCAGAATTTCCAAAGGAGAACATTCTACATAGACTATAATGATGATGTGTGGTATAGGCAGAATCAAGTGTCCAATGCAGACGACCTGAAATAACTAGTACTAACATCTCTAATAGCAGAAAAAGAAAAGAGCAGAGAAATGCCATGGGCCTGCTGTGGGCCCAGGTTACCTGGCCCTAGGCTGTCACATTCTACCAACACTTCACTGGCCTGGGTCTTCAGTGGGGGCACGATGATGGTGCGGGGGTTGGCGGTGCAGTGATTCTCTAGGCTCCCCTTGGTGTCCAAGGTATTGGTGCCGTTGTGCCCTATGCGCTGCTGCACCGAGTAGGGGCTGGTGTTGCTGGAGGAGTCAGAGTAGGGCGAATCGTGGACTGTGACACAGCTGATGACATTTTTTCTTTGCTTGGAGACTGTGCTGCAAAGGTAAAGGGAGAGGTTAGAACAGCAGGCTGGCTGTGAGATAAGAGAACCTGTTCTGGAAAAAGTCTTTGGTTGGGCCCTGCACCAGAGTACATGGGAAGACAGGCAGAGCAGGCTGGGCCGGGCCAGGGCCACACTGATGCTTCTGGAAGCTAATGTATGAGGCAATCAATGGTGGGTCTTGGCTGCCCCCATGTGGCAGAGAACCCCTTCGACCACTAGAACGGGAGTCTGACTGAATGAATCAGGCAGGTGGAGAACTAGAATAGGAGGGAATGGCCCCGAGTTTGGGCTCTGGGACTATGAGAATCAGCAGAGTGTAAGCAGGAAGAGAAGAGGTCCAGTGATTCAGGATGCTGCTGGAGGGACAGAGGATGGATGAGGGTCTAGAGACATCATCATTGAGAAACGCTGAGGAACAGAGATTGAGCTGAATTTGAGTGATTATGTTCAGGCCATTCAGGACACTGGGCACTCATTTTTAGGGAGGACCTGGCCTTCCTGCAGAGTTCCCATCCTTTGGGCCAAGGTCAGGAGACAGTATTGTCCTCAGCTTTCAAGGCAAGTCTCCTGTGTGCTGATGCCACCACAGAGTGGCTCCCAAACCCTGGTCTTCATTTCTAACTAGAACTTTACCTAGAAACAGGGAAGAGCTGGCTTGGAATGGTTCTTGGCTAGCACTTGCTTTTCATAGAGCTTTATGCTCCTGTGGTTACTCTGGGAACCAGTTCTATCTGCCTGTGGCTTGGTGACAGGCTGCTGGGACGACAGATGTGGAGCTTATCATGTATTATGCAAGGTTTTAAAAATGGATGTTCATCTATTTTTGTACACTGATCATTTATTTTTAAGAAATAACAATTGCCTAGGCAAGATGGCTACTTTCCAGCTAATCTGATATGGGGAAAAAGCTAGTATTTATAGAATCTGATGGGGTTTCCAATGGCCCTCCTACCCCAGGAGTGTTACCTAATGCCACAGACCCAGGCCAGGCTCTTTCTAAGATGAGTTTTTTATCACTCGAGGGAGAGTGGGGAAGTAGGCACTTCCGAGGGCAGCTCAGTAGAAGGCCAGGAGGAGGTCAGCAAAGCTGTGGACCTCCAGAGGCTGGAAAGGCAGTCAGGTGGAAGCTCTGGAGGACCTGGCCCCTGCTCTTGAGAGTCAGCACCAGTGATGGCAGGGCTGGACCACTCCTGCAGTGGCCAGGCTCTCTATTCCTGCAGACCTAGCTGGGTCTGTGGGTTAGGATGTGAGCCTCCAGTCAGAGGTTTAACCTTAGTGTATGCTGATAATAGAGCCTTGGGAACTGGTTGTCTACACAATGATAATATGGGTAGCGACAGAGCCCAGGATGAGGTGAGAAAATACTGCTGTACAGCACATGACAAGCAGAGCATGGGGTAACGGATCTCTATTATTACACAGGAGGAGCTTCCCTAACCCCAAATTCCAATGCCCCCAAGTCTAAAACTCTTTGAGTAGTGCATGGTAGCATTAGTGGGAAGTCCCATGTCTGACCTGATATGACAGGCTGTGGTCAAAAAGCAGGCCTACTAAAATTAACTGTGTAAAATTTCCTTCAGGAGATATGCACATGGAAAAATCTGAAATTCAAAACATTTTTGGTTTGAAGCCTTTAAAAATAATTTAAATTTTTATTAAGAATAGATTTTTTCACATAATGTATTCTGGTCATGGTTTCTCCTTTCTCATCTTCATCCAGATCCTCCCCTCCTCAATCCATACCTTTTCTTTCTCTCTCATTTTACACACACACACACACACACACACACACACACACACACAAACAAACAAAACCCACCACCAACCACCCACAAAAACATACAAACAGATCAGAATTGGACAAAACAAACAAGCAGGAAAGGAGAGTGGCAAATGTAGATACAGACACTCCCACTCCCACACAGAGAAATCCTACAAAATCACAAAGTCAGAAACCACAATATATAAGCAAATGACTTGTAAAGTATATTAAAAAAAATTCCCAGACAAATCACTAGGAAACAAAAGTCCTCTAAAAATGTCACCAAGTTCATTTTGTGTTGGCCGTCTGGTGCTGGGCATGGGCCTGCCCATACATGTGGTTTGCACGCTAGTGGGATCCTGCTGCAGAACTAATTCTGCCTGAGTGGTTATAACTTGAAAATAGCTTCTGAGTTAGGGACAGGGCCTTGTGTCCACTTCCCCTCTCAGTGCTGGGACCTCATCTGGCTTAGACCTGTGCAGGCCCTGATCCTAGCCTTATTAAAGACAGAATTCCACTATGTAGTCTAGACTAGCCTCAAATTCAGAGATCTGCCTGTCTCTGCCTCCCGAGTGCTAGGATTAAAGGTGTACACCATCACACCTAGCATCTCAAGTCAAGCCTTTGGATAAAGGATGTTCAACTTGTATTATAACATGGGAAAGCAACTCTGCACAAAATCTTACCAGGCACAACAAATTTTATGAGGGAAGGACTTACTAAAGAATTTTCTCTAGTCTGTGCTAAGCCAGAAGATTGATAGGAAAAAGAAAAGACAAGTCATTAGTTTGGAATCCTGGAGATCTATAGTCAGTGCCACAGGGAATATCTGCACAAAGAACAGAGGCACGCCTCTGTCCTCGAAGACGGAAGGCTCAGGGGGGACTGTATAACAACACGACAAGTTAAACAGTAAAAGCTTTAAAGTGACCAGTTAGAATAATGGATGTCACAAAGCCTTCTGAGAGGAACTGTCAAAGGAACCTTCCAGATGACAAGTGTTAAGAATGCAAAAGAAGGCGAGGAATGAACTGGTCACATAGATTTACAGCCCTTCGTATTTACTTAATTTTTAAAAAAATTGTATGTGTGTGCGCACGCTCCCATGTGCTCACTTGAGTATGTGTGTATGTGCACATGTGTGCAAGTGTCTGCAGAAGCCAGAGACACCAGGATGCCCTTGAACTGGAGTTACAGGCAGTTATGAGCCTCCTGATATGGATTCTGGGAATAGAACCGAGGTCCACTGAAGGGCAGTATGCATTCTCCAACCCTCTCTCCAAACCCTTGAGTAAAGCTCTTATATGAATGAACCTTATGTTTGACATAAAATAATTCAGACACAAATTCTGCATGAGTCAACACAAGAAACATGTAGAATAGGCAAACTCATACAAAAAGGAAATAGGTTACAGATACCAGAGATCTGAGGAATAGGGTAGGCAGAGAAAAATATAAAATTATTTAGTGGGTACGGAATATTGGGTTGGAATGGCAGAAAAGTTTTAGAATAGATAAAGGTGACAGTGCCCCCAAAATGGTTAAAATTGCAAATTTCATGCTTTACAATAATTAAAAAAATTAATGTGGAATCTCCCTAGTGAAGTGTATACAGTAAATTGGTGAATTGTATAATATATGAATTATTGCTAATTTTGAAAAGCCCATGGGTTTATCCACAATAAGAAGCTCCCACGATACAGCAGTCTTGGGCTGTGAAGCAGCACTGCTTCAGCAGATCTCAGGGGCCACAAGTAACTGAGATCTGTTCCAAGAATTAGAGAGTGAGTCCCCAGGAAAAAAGTTCCTGACCCTGGAAAGCAGGAGAAAGTAATGGAGATGTGGGGGCCAGCGTGGGAAGCTGAGGGAGTGAGAAGGCCCTGCTGTTCTTTTCTGTGGTGGGACCAGTCAAAGGAAGCCACTGGTCTCAAAACAGAACTGTTTGATGTCCTGTTGCTGGGGGTATCCCTCCTACCTGCAGATATAAAGTGCTTCTGGGACCAGGGATGGAGCTGGGAATTTATTCCAGGCAAGTTCCCAAGGGGATGCAGAGGGCATGCCACTCTGTTCTTCACTCAAGACTTCTGTCACTTGTACTTGATTAAATAGTCTGAACACAGTGGTTCCCTTTACAGTTTCCTGAAATGGGTATATGTTCTGCTGCGAGGGCATGATTTGTAGGAGGAGGGCTGCGTGAAGACAGAGGGTGGCTCCCAGTGTGTCCCTATAATGGTGTTCCAGTTCTGGCTCTGCTGTCCCTTTCCAGGTGAGGCCCTAGGCAACCATGGCCCTGTACCATCCACCTAGCTCTGAGCCACTCTGAACCCACTAGGGGAAGTGGGAGAGATTATCTGCAGCATGAGGGCCCATTTAGAATATTTCACAGAGATTTATTATGAAAGACATTCAAGATAAAATCCAATCTACATGTCAAGAGAAAACAAATCTCTTCAGTGAGAGGAACTTACACACACGGGGTCCAGTCTCTTTAGTGAGAGGAACTTACACACACACACACACACACACACACACATACATACATACACGGTCCAGGCCATTTCCTGCTGAGCCTCCTCCCTGAGGCTATGGATCATTTAGAACGTGAGCAAGCAAAGCAATAACACACAATACTAATTTTGACCAAACTGTAATCTGACCTCAGACACAATTTAAATTGTGCCCATTTGTAATTTGTAACTCATATTTGCAAATTGTGAAGCTCCAGTTTAATGCAGATAAAATTTCCTAACTGCTGGAACATTCTGAAGGCACAATACAGTACCTCAAAAACTAGCACACTGCCATTGAAGACAGGCTTTCTTTCTGCAGAGTCCTGTGGGAGCTGGAGGCCAGGCTGTGAGTGAGTGCCACATGTCAGTGTCTTGTTACCTGTGAAGGAGGTAGGGGAGAAAAGCTCCTCCCTTTCTCTGTAGCTGGGATGCCCCATGATTAACAAGCAAAATCACATAGCAGCTTAACATTGTATGTTTTTGGATTTATGTCTGACAGGTTTGGGAAAGATGAATTAGTTTGATAGGTCTGTTTCTATTCCTGTCTATTCTAGAGATACCTGTGCGCTAGGTAAATACACTATCCAGGTTGGAGAACAATGAGGGGCTGCTAAATAGCTCCTTTAAAACGAAGCACACAGCTGAGACTGGCACTGCTGGGTCTTCAGGCTCACACACATCAGGACTATGGGGACTCATTCCACCATTGTCTCTAATTAT